TCCGGCTTGATGCCAGATTTCTATTCGATTAACTGATTTGTGCTATTCGGGATAAAGCTTAAATCATTTTGAAATTTCTCATCAAAATTCATGACAATAATTGAAAGTGTTTTGAATCTTTCGAGGATTAAAGAGTGTGAAACTAATCGAAACATTCAATAATAATAATAAAGTGATTGATTGGTTCCACTTAAACTTAAAATCTTAACTTCTTTACAATTTTAAAATTTAATCTCGTATTTTTATAAATTAAGATTCAAATGAAGTCCACAGTTAATTATCTTTATATCCTATAACATAGAGCATACAACTTGCCCTAACAGACAAAGAGCTCTTGATCAAAAGTACGGTTGAGAATACGCTTTTTTAAAATCCTCTCAAGATCCCAGTAAAGAGCATGTTCAATAGCGAACTCAATCATCATCTAATTATAAATAACTTGCATGCAAGTTTTTACTTCATAATATTTTATATACTCTCAAGAGCATGATCAAATCCTCATGAGATTATGCTAAAATTTTTTTTGCTATATACTTCACAAGCGCAAGCGGAAATCACTAGTATAGGTCCTATATAATTCACAAGACAAAGCAGAAATCGCTTTTATAAGTAATTATTTTGGACTTTCTATAGTTTAAATATGTTTTTACGCCGTTTGAAATTTATTTGATTTCAGAAGGCGTTAGACAAGATGAACAGTTATCAGGACATACTACAACACAGCGTACTCGGCTTTGAATCACGGCAAAAACCAAAAAAGAATAAAAATATCAAATTCTCAAAAACATGATCAAGAGCATAATCACAAGCTCATAAATTTTTAAAATAGTAAAATTAAAGCATGATTAGCAGAACATGTTCTTGATCATGTTCTCAAGTTTAACTTGCATGAAAAATTTGCAAGTAGAAAAGCGTACTCTTGAAAGCGTGATTTCTGTGAATTCATTCACTTAAAAGAACTTAAAAGTTGCAGTTATTCAAGAATAGCTTTCTAAGTTGTTAAAGTAATGCTTAAAAAGAGGCACAAAAAGCATTCTTAATCCACAACAAAAGGTTGACAAAACACTCAAACCCATAAAAATCCTTCAACCAAATCAACGCCATAATTGGATTTGAGTGACACTTGACAAATCACTGCATTTACACTTAGCATTCAAACCAAGCACAACAGTTGCAGCTAAAAAATGCGCTAAAATTATTATCCACTTCTTTTCAATAAATTTTAAACACTAATTTCTCGTCATATCTCTTTCATTCCATTTGACTCCTTGCAGTGTTATTTCAACTGCAACGATAAAGAATTAATTTCCATTTAATTATGCATGAAAGAAAAGAAATAACAGAAAAAAATGAAAGGCAAAGAAAAGAAAAATTTAATTATGAATATTTCTGCATAGTTCGTTGCTTCTTTCAAGAGGGAGGAAGAAGAAGGAAAAAGAGCATTTAAAAAATGCACAAGTGATTAAAATGAAAAGAAAACTCCAAGAAAGCAAATTCTTTTATTTCCCTCAAAAAAGCATGAAAAACAACAGACAAGAAAAATTTTTGTTATCAAACAAACAACAAGAAGCTGTAGAAGCTGAAAAAATTTAATTTTTTAATTCATCTTTCCCCATTATTTTTTTTTAAAAATTCTGTCATAACAAGACATTAATGTTTGAAATGAATCTCAAGATGCTGCCAAATGCGATAAAAAGTATATAAAATTTCTTGTTTTTTGTTCTGCATGTAATCCACTATCCATAGAGGGGTTCGCATTTGTTTAATTGAAAAACATTACGTTTGAATGATCTCATGAGAGACTCTTGTACCGATAAGCATCATCGTCATCATCATTTCAGTTCTAAATTCATTCATAATCATAATTATAAAAATTCATTTACATTTTACGGTGCATTGCACTTAGCTAAATTGGAATAATGGAATAAGAAATGAGAAAATAGAAAGTGATAGGCATAATTTCACATATCTCAAAGAGAAAATTAAAGCGTGAAGATACGGCAGTGTGAAAATGAAATTCTTTCAGCATTTAAAGGAAAGAGGAAGGAAGGAAGAAGGGTTAATTCCTTTAAAGTCTATTACAATGAGATAAGGGGTCAAATGTGCATCTCATTTGTTATTTTAATGAGTCTTTAAATTAAATTGAATGTTGCTTCTGGCACTTACTGTTTTGCTAATTTCTTCACGGTGAATTATGGAAATTGATAGTGTGGCGAATCGGTGGAGTTGGCAGGCTGCAGTTGTATTTAATTTACTTGTTAAATGCGTGCTCCTGACAAGTAAATGAAACTGACAAAAGAAATAATGATAATTTTGGATTAGTTCTACAAACTTTGCTCATGCAAAATGCTTGATGCTTGAATGCAGTGGTGGACAACCTTTTTTGTGATAAGCCTCATCTCAACCCTCAAAACCAAATTCAAGCTGAAATTGATTACCTTTCTCGATACAATAGTGAACCATAGAACCCAGGTTTACCAGCACTGACAATTTGTTATCAAAACATATCAGGTATTAATGCAACTGATTGCCAATTAAATTAATTATGACAAAGGAAATTTATTTCTTTGACAGAATTTAGCATGTGGAAAAAAAATTATAAATCATGTCGCTCGCGTAGGACATCCCACCACCCTCAACTAAATTTATATTCATTTCAAAAGCATTTTCATAATTCAGCATAAAATCCTTTAGTGCTCACCACATAAAAGCACATCAATGCGCTCAAATCTAAGAGAAATTTTCAATGTCAGAGCAAATATTTCAACATATGAATTATGATGACACGTCATGATAAATATTCCCATAAGTGAAATTTATGCAAATTAATGTTGATGCGGCATAACTCACCGTTGTTGCCTCTCGAAGCCTTAGGATCATTGAATCTACATAAATGTACTTTCACCAGTCTCCCATGAATGAAAAAAAAACCCGTGGAAATGAAATTTATGCGAGCTAAACAGAATTTTGGATGAATTTTGACGACTGTGAGGCTGATTTTTGTAAAATAAAACATGCACAGTGAGAATATTTTATTTGAGTTGTGGAGCAAGTGAGATGTGTATATGCATATACTTTTAAAAGCTGTACGCTAATGCATTTTATGTGTAATTAATTTTCAAGAGCTTTCTTTCCTATTTTCACAATTTTATATAAATTTTATCACTTATTTCTGCATTATTCTCATGAGCGCTATGAGCACATCTACAATTAAATATGTACACAAAATGCATACATTCTGTATTTAATTTATATCACTATCGTTAAATCAACAGCTGCTTTTTACTAAAGCTTTTTCAGGCGGATTTTTTGTGAGAAAAATGAGATTGTTGGAAATTTGTCGGTATTGAGTCATGGATTTGCTTATTGTCGGTTTATTTGTTGACAACCTAGGAGGTCGTTCACCTATGACGTCCACCAAAAAACCTGATTTTTAGACCCCCCTCCCCCCCTCCCCCCCTCTGTCACAAAAGTTCTGTAGAAAAAAATTTCCATTGTTTGAAGTGTCACAAAATCCTAGACCCCCCCTCCCCCCCCCCCCTTAATGTCGGACGTCATAAGTGAACGGCCCCTTGTCATATTGTGTGATTTGAGCCATTAGTTGGATGGCATTAGTGTCTGAAGCTTTCTAAAGAAGACATTTATTGATAATTACGATTATTAAGTCTAATTGATAAGCTATATGCTTAATTTTAGTGAACCAAGGGCGTCAGTGTTTCTCAAACCGTGTGATGCGATCCACTGCATTAACTTGCAGAACTTTATACCAAAATTCAAATCTTTTAAATGCCATAAATCCAGAAAACTAAAATAATTAAACACTTCAACATCACCTCAATAACAGCAACTCATCATACTCACAGATAAGGTATGAACAAGCATTGGTACTTAAAAAGTTTCATTAAACAATTCCAAATAGATTGTACCTTGTCACAAAAAGTTTTTCCTTTAAATTTGTTAACTGGATATAGCAAGAGAGCAAAGCTTTTCTGTAGTGATAAATTATTGTCACTAAAGCTATTGTTTAAATTTATTCATCTTCGTAGACATAAATTGTCATGGAAGCGTTCTTACGCACAAAACGCAGGTAGAAGAGAGTTATTGTTTAATTATCATTCCAAAGAATTTTGTTACTGAAAAAGCCTTTTGAGGGGGTCGTACGGATGTTAGGTAACGATGAAAATTCCATGTATTACCTGAACTGAAATTTGAGGAATAAAATTTTTGTGCATAATTTGAAAAGTTTGAATGAAATTTGGGGGTAATTCACATATTCCGTCTACATTAAAAGAATAGATTAGACTGAGATTCTGTGACAAAAGTGAGGAGTGAACTTGAAATTCCATTTTAAAGGACATCAGAAGCAAAAAACCCTTAACACAGTGTTGGACAACCTTTTTTGTGTGGCACATGGTTTTGCCATTACTGTCTTAATGAGATGCTAGTCTCTCCCCCTACTAGTTCTTCCTAAGGTTCCCTAACATCTAAACAATCCCCATTCATGCAGTCTAATTTTCTTTACAATTAATTAAAATTAATTACTGTAAAAGGCACAAATTTAAATCTACATTTAATTATTTCATAGCGAGAAACTCTCTCACTTCCTTTTTATAATGTTAAAACATTCAAGATTCCATTATGGAGTTGTTCACAATGGAAAAAGTGATGAATAATGTAAAATTACAGTTTATATTAACTTCAAAGGCAAGCATTATGTAACTTTGCGAACTAATTATGTAGATAAATCATGAGTCAGTGACGTGTTACATTTTTTTTGTCTAAAATGCATAAAGATAAAGCAGTTTTTATGTCTCAATATTTAGCATGTCGCACCTTTTTTTCAATTCGGAAAGAAATAATTATCGTGGTAGGTGCTTAGTCTCAATATTGACGCCACAATATTCGTACATAATATTTTCTGTAAATGTTGAATAAATTAATTTCATTATTTTCATTAAATTTTAATAAATTTCTTTAATTGGAAAAGCTGTAGAAGAGGAAAATAATGAAAATTTTTGTAAGTAGGAAGGAATTTTTAATTTATTAATTATAGAAACTCTTTGAAGTCTTTCCCATAAATTTATATATTGAATAATTAATTATAATTATTTTCAATACAAATTATAGATTTTTATTTTCTGTATTAAAATTACCGCTGGTTTCTACGCAGGTGAGTCTCTTTTTCATTTAAATTGCTTATTTGTTTGTGCCATTGAGTCAAGGGTAGTGCTGTGTGTAAAAAAAATCTCTTTCCTCAATGATCCTTGACATTCATCAAAATTAATGATTCATGAAATTTGTGTTTGGCAAGGATTTATAAAATATTTTATGATCCTTGAAGGGCTTGAATAATGTCATTCGCAATCTATCAATTTCTTGTTACCATAAGTGTTAATATTTTATATGGCTTTGATATATGCCGCGTTGCAATATGTTTGTGGTGAATTTTATTAAGAAAAGAAGTTTGATGATGTGGAAAATTTCATGACATAAGAAAAAAATTTGAAGTTGTTGACTTTAAGTTATTGAACTCTAGTTTTCAAGTACACACTTTGGCAGAACTCATAAAGTCAAAATAATAATTTTTTGATATTTGAAACAATGCATTAGAATAGTTTACTTCCAAGCTGCACAACCGACAAAGACTCCAATAAACTTACTTTTATCTTTAATATTGCAATTCTATAAGCTTAGTTCGAATCCTTGTCAAATCTCCTGCAATATGTGATATTTAAGATATCATTCTCTGTTTAGAATCAAATGTCTTTATTTCAAGTTTGGAATTACTGTAGTTTGTGTTACAATTCTAAGAGTCTTATTTTACATCAGCCTGAAAATGGCTTTAATTCAAATATATCTAGATTGTTGGAATCAAACCTTGATTTAGCCATAGATTTTAACATTCGAACATTCATATTTGCTAACATAAACTCAATACCTCAGATCCGATTCTGCTGCAAATACTATAAATATCAGAACCGATTGTCTCCATTTTGAACAAATTAACCTAATTCTATTTTTACTTCATTAGTCCATGATACCAATCTAGTCCATTGAACTATATTTCTATCCAATTTCCAAATAATTGAGTCATTAAAATATTGCAAAATACTGATCGTACACATACTCAAGATTACAGAGTTCTTTAATCCACAAATTCTTATCATCTACAGTCATTAAAGCATAGTACACACAATGGTATTTCCAAAACTATTTCACCTTCAATTCTGTGAAAATGTCTTGATATTTCTGCGACTTTGATTATGTAATCTACTTCCGTCACCAACCTATATAGTATGTGCGCTTTGTTGTAATATTTACAATTTATTTAATGACTGAATAAGTCATTAGGTATGATGTTGAACTATTTACATTTCCATTAATATTCGTGTAATTTCTATGAGTCTTTAGAAATGAAAATGCAATTTTCGACAAATTTTCTTGTTCCTTAAAATTCCTTAATTCAAAAAGAGAAAAGGGGATAAATAATGGATTGAATGTGCGATGGAAATCCATTAAAATTCACATCAATTCCTCATTTATAAGAAATTGCTGGCATGTGATTCATGTTGACAAAGGCATTGACTTGAATTTTCATTTCAATGCGCATCGAAATTTCATAAAATTTAAATTTTTCAAAATTATTTTCATGCCGTTGACTGGATGCATGCACTTGTCAATAATTTATGTCACTTTTTCCTGCTTTTTTTATTTGAATATAAAAATCATAAATTTATGAATGGAAATTTTTTAAATCTAAAAAACAACAAGAAGTCACAAGAGGAAGCAGCAAAAAAAGTCTCAATCGAGTGGCTCGTAAATTTTCCTCAATTTATGCGATTTTCATCATGTGCATGTTGTGTATTTGTAACATAATGTTGTCGCTGTGTTGTGAAAAGTACTTTTTGTGCAATAATGATGACAACATTGGAAGGATGAAGACAATTTCCTTACAATATGCTCACAAGCAAGCAGGAATCTTTGAGACGATAATGCGATTTTTATTCAATTCTTCTCTCCCTTCCAAAAAATATGTAAAGAAGGAATATTTTCATGTATATCGACATAAACAGCAGCAATGTGCAGTAACAATGACAGCAACTTGCTTCCCTTCAATTTTGATAGAAGATTTAAAGAACCGAAAAAAAACTTTTTCATGTTAAAAGCAATCACAAATTTTCTCTTATGTCCGCCTTTGCTGCTCCTCCTTTTTTGTCATAAAATTTCTCTTCAATCTTCTTCGTTCACTTCCTTCATTTCTGTTATGTCTAAGTTGCAGCATGTAATGTGTTTTTCTATCTGTGAGTTCACTTACGATGCGATTTGATTGAAGCTATAATCGCATTAGAATCAGATTATTTTCGCATTATTTCCTTACTCACACATTCTTTGCTGCTTCCTTTATTTTTCTTACTGATTAAATTGATTTTTTTTATGTGTCTATCAGCTAACAAATTCCTTTAATGTTGTTGAGAATTGCAAAGATTTATTTATTGCTTTTCATGTTTTCATTCTCATACCCATTCTGTGTAATGTGCTGTCGTGTCTTCTACTTTATCAGTCATGAAAAAAGTTGTAAGTCACACATTCATCTTATAAGTCATTAATGATAATTATTGACACAATTTGTTTTCATTAGGTGGCCCGTCTATATCCAATAATCCAAATTACAACTCAACATTCTTTTGGAATGGACAACGACCGAACTATGATGGACCGACATTTAATAGCCAGACACCAAATTATGGTGGACAATATCCAACAAATTGGAATAGTCAGAATCCTCCAGCTTGGAATGGACAGAACCCAACAAATTGGAACAGCCAGAATCCTCCTGATTGGAATAGACATCAACCTCCAACATGGAATGAACAAAATCTTTTCAATCAGAATTCAAGCATCAACACATCAAATCCACCAAGTGGGATTGGGCAAAGACCACCAATCTGGAATGGACCGATTCCGTATGACGAAAGCCAATATCCACAAATATTAAGCAATAAAAATCCATCAGTTAATCCTCTAAACTTGAACACACAAAATCCAATAAATGCTAATCCTACCTTCATTCCACAAAATTCTAATGAAAATCAAGATCCAAACGAAATAGAACTTTTCTACGAAATCGGTTCACCAATATCAAGGATTAAACGTGACGTGAGATTCCCCGATGATGATGAAAATGTCAATAGTCAACAAGAATTGCCAAATATTGAAATCAACAACAACACAATCGGCGATGTGCTAGTTGTATCAAATATGTCCAAAGAAGGACGTGCCTCAAAGCAAATGATGCAGAGCGTTACGAAAATCGATGTGGGACCACAATCGCAATTATTTGTGCCACCAGGATCAACATCAGTGATTTATTTTGAAGTGACAAATTTAAGAAATGAACCAACTTATCATAGCTTTAATGTTCAAGACGAGAAGAGATATTTACGGCAAATGGAACCGAGATTGTAAGTTTGAGATTTATTTAATTAACATCCGAGAATTAGATTTATTTACCACTTCCATTTCTCATCTTATTGTTAAATTTCCCTAGTTTCTGGTTGAGACCACATCAGAGAGAATCAGTCCGAGTAACAATAATGATACCACAAGGAACTGAGCTTGGTATAAAAGATAAAATCACGTTGACATCTCAGAGCATTGTTCAGACACAACAATCAGTTGCTGTGACTGTCACAACTAATGGAGTAGTTGATTCATGGCAACCTCGTCTTTGGTATACATACAGTACGAGATGTGATTGGCGTTGGAATTGTGTCGGTGGAATTTGGTCAGTAGAAGTTGTAGCACGAGACTATGAGACAGGAATGTTAAGTTTGCGATCAAATCCCGAAGGATTATTGTTACGTGCTCCATTTACTGCTGGAACGACTGAAGAGGTTCATGCTACATTCTCAGCATCATGCTGTGAGCCAAAAGTTTCAATCACAGCTTATGATTTAAATAGAAATCAAAGAACGCTTCAACTTGACGTCGATTGGCCATGGTTGAGTGAATATGGAATAGCAACAGTAGTCCTTGGCTGTCTCTTCTTCATCCTCTTGATAATCCTCATCGTTATTTGGGTCAGATGGTGCATTAAACGACGTCGAGAGAGAAATGATTATAATTTGGATGGGCCGATACATTAAGATTGATTACCTGACCCAGACTTCAAGACTTGCCTTGCCTTCATAATGACAAATTTCCTTCATCATCACGACACAATGAATTGTACAAACGCATATACATACACACATAAATAAATTTATTTTATTAATATCGTACTAATATATATTTATTGCTCAATAAATTATTCCATCATGGACATAACAACAAAATAGTGGAAAAGCAACTAGCATGGCAGAAATATTGCTTTTTGATAAATGCCTTGTCATTATGATGGAAATGTTCCTAAGGATGTCTTCAAGATGACTAATGATTATGACAAATGAAACGTAAGAAGATACATAGACATAGCTAGCTATAATGCAGTAGAAGCAAAATTGAAAATTCATTATATGATACGTTTATACTTAATTGAATCTAATAAAGTCATGGAAGTGGAGATAAAAATCTTTAATTTCGCCATAAAAATTCTACCAACAGTTCACTATGGTCCATAAAATAAGATATCACCATGTCGTTTAAGTAACTATATAATTTCATAGTCCATACAGCACATAACTCTATAGTTATTACAAGCCATAACCCAAAACATTTTCTACATTCCAAGTATATGCGGTTCGTATATTCAGTGAAGTTTGAGTCACATTTCCCATAAGACATATCAACAGAAAATAATTTCAAGAGCTAATGGAACTTTATCTCTCATAACTCTCTAGTATGTATGTTTTTTGTCGTAGCTAACATCAGCAAGATTTTTCCACTTATTTCGCAATTCGTATTCATCTCACATAAATGATGACACAACATACACTACATTGTAGCTAATTTTTGTGCATTAAGTATATAAAATAGACGACGAAGAAGAAGAAGATGGATAGAAGAAGAAAAGGGAATGAAGGATAAATGGAAAAGGAAGATAATATTTCATTCTGAACATGACATATCATCACGAAAAGATAATTCAATTATTCTATTTATAACAATATCTACATTTCCAGTTCGTGAATATGGAACATGTCCATTATTTATCCCAACTTTCCTTTGACGGTGGGCAATTCATTAATTTTTCTCGAGTTTGATGATCATTAAGGATGAAAAGTGGAGTTGATGTTGTTGAGGGCTTTTTGAAATGAAAAGGAAGACAATTGAGTGCATTATTAACAGATATGGCCATTAAATGTGGAGCTAGGGATGAAATTTTTGTTATTATTCAGATCACATTTATGGTAAGTTTTTTAGGGGAAATGTTGAAATTAATGGATAATTCACAGGCAGATTTAAAACATCTTGAGATTTTGCTGCTTCTATGTTTTAGACGTCGAAAGTTGACCGAACACCTAAAGTCAAATTATGTTCAAGGAACCAAATGATTCAATTTTATTAAAAGCTTGACTTCACAGCCCTTAAAATCGGAAAAATGTGACCAAATCCAAATTGAATCCAAACTGCGGTTAAATCCTGAATGATACCAAATGAATCTGACATAATCCAAATTATCCTGTCAAACCCCACCAAGTAGCTAAAGATCCAGTCTCTTCAGACAAAACACTCAAAAATTACTTCAAAATAACAGTTTGAAACCTAAAAACCGAAATCATGAGCTGAATAATTTATAATTAATATTTTTTCACTATCAATTATGAAAATCATGCTAGACAATCTTAAAATAGATGTTCAGATCTAACTCATTAATAATAAATATTCAAAACATCCAAAATTGTCGCAAAAACAGCAAATGACATTTTACCATTCCAAGATAAACTTAAATGACATCGCATTCAATCTTAGATCAACAGTCGCTTTACATTTTCATGGATCAATATCATTGAAAGTGATATGAATATGATATATGAGAGGGTTAATATGATAAACAGCATAGGCTAAATAGCAATTTTATGCACAAATTGTACTCATAATAGTAATATAATAATGATATGCAAATTATAATAGAAAGTCTGTTCAATAAAGTTGTATTGTTGTTGTGGTGCTGCCTGCCTGCCTGCCTGACTGCCTGACTGCGAGTGTGAGAGAACGAGTGGATGCTTATCTAATATCAATAAAACATTAATTTAACTTTCAATAGATAAACAATAATGTAACAATATAATAATAATTTTAGACACAGAGAGAAATAAGCTCCAACAATTGCCAATAATGATTCTCCTGTTCCATTCGAGCATTAGTATGTCTGTACGTACGTCTGTTGTTATTATAATTCCAATACTAAAACTTTGTTGTTTCTATCGTTATGAGAACATTAAGTACAGCATACATAACATTCGGTGTGCGGATAGTAAGCTAATTTAGAGGAAAATATTGAGAAACCTCATCGCATTCAGATATTTATTCATAATTAAACAACAGAACCGCATATACATACATAGCATGAAGCAGTTGGTTTTCGTGTTTTGTGTTGTTTCAACATTTTCACTAATTATAATGTTAATTACAAAAAAAGCCTGAAATATCATTGATTAAGAGACGAAAAAATGTATTAAATAATGTTGTGTGGATGCATACATGCATAAATAATAATGATGAACAAAATGTTTTTTGTTCGATTTTGCGCTAATCGTCAATCATTTGAGTCTTTTTTTTTGATGGGTTTGGGGTGCAGTTTTTTGGTGCTTTTTTTATTTTTTGTTGCAATATTCTAGAGAATTGTATCAAACTTTTAAGTCTCTTTAAAACCCAAGTTGTACAAGTCGGTTAATCGAATAGGAATCTAGCACCAAACCGGAGTGACTCTAGCATGGTGCTAAGCTTGAATCGTATCCAGCTCCATGCCAGAGATCCACTAGCTTGTTGTCAGATTTATATTCGATTAACTGACTTGTGCTATTCGGGAAACATCCAATTTTCATCCACATGAACACAATACAATTTCTACCAAAACATACTTCCATTGAAGAATAATAAACATACACAAATTACGAAACTTTCGCACCATAATTATGTAGAAGAAGTAGACAGAAGACATATACTTAAATGGTGTCATTAAATTAATATATAAATTAAGCATGTTCACCACATTTAATTATGATTTTTCATCAAAACTTTTTCCTTCCGTTGATTCCATTCATTCAACTTTTTCGAAAATTTTTGTTCCTCTCTCGCTCTCATTTTTTTGCATTTTCGAACATTCTCTTACGTTCGCTCACTCTCAATTTGTCATGTTCGAAACATGCATTGTGTGATGTTCAATAAAAATCTTTATGTTAAGAGGAGTTTCAGTTGTTTATAGGATTCTAACAAGAGTAGATTGTGAGCATAAATCGTGCACCGGGCATTTTTACTATTTTCACTACAACAGAGTGTAGAGACTGTGTCTTTTTTGGATAGTATACCTTGAAAATATATTAGAACAATAAATAAGGATAAAAAAAATTTGAAAAATATTCGCCAGACGCAACGAAAATAAATCGTTGCAGCAAAGCAGGCAGCCAGGAGAGTTGGGTGCAAAAAAAAATCGATTGCTGGCAGTTTTCATGAAAAGTAGTGGAAATTACTTTCGAGTTGCAATAAATCATTCAGTGTGAAAATTTTTAAAGCTAAAACAACTCTTTTGTTTTAATTCTGAACGCGGATATTCAGTACATAAAATTTATGCTCATTTCTTTCATGTGGAAGTAAAAACAAAAATTATTTTTTTTTCTATAGCATAAAATACATAAAAAGCACATAATAAAAATAAAATAAAGAGTTCATGCTGATAATGAAAACCAAAAAAATAAAATAAAGAGAAAATTCACATTAAAAAAGGAAAATGAAATTTAGTGTTTGTGTATCCCTTTTTATCAATTGAGGGGTTTCGAGTGAGGAGCAAAAAGCAAGCAAAGAAAGTGAAGATATTTTCCTGCTGGCTTATGAGTGAGTGTAAAGAGGAAATGACAAAAAGGATCAATTGAAAGTTTTCCACCCCAAAAAGTTTTTTTTTTCCTTAAAAATTTATCCTCGGTCTGAAAGCGACTGACTCTTTAACAATCAGCAACAACAACAAGAATAAAAAACTGAAAGAAGTTTCTATTAAGTGAAATTGAAATTATCCTGCTTGCAAGTTCCTTTTGTGGTTAAAAATTCAAAAAGAAAGAAAAAAAGTAAATTGAAGGAATTATCATGAAAGATTCATGAATTTTGGATATAATGCAATGGATATAATGTTAAAAGTGAACTGAAATTCTTTCAACATCGTCTCGACATTTCCATTCCTTCTTGACTCAGTGAATAAATGTTTGTAGATATGAAGGAGTGATTCATAGAAATTTCCTCTTTTAAAAAATATTATGCATGTGTTTGGTGATGTAAAAAAGTTTTATGGACATAGATAAAACCCCACAAAATTGAACAAGTGACGAGTGAATTAATGGAACATCATTTATTTCCAAAAAAATATTTCTATCTCCCCTAACTCGATATTATTTTAATGTGCCGATTGATTGGAAAATATCGGAGATGAAAAATCCACAAAATTACCTCACATGGTCCACATTTGGCAGAAGGGAGTAAAAGTTGATGCCAAAAAAAAATTCGGTGAAAGTGCGAACAATTTTTATATCATCAAGTGTACAGATTTATTGCCAAATTCCTGTGGATAAATGAATTAATTAGTTCGAATGAGCCTGGACGGAGAAAAAGACTCTAAAAATTCAAGCATGGTCGACATCAACTCAATTATTGAAGGAACTGTCAAGTTTCGTGATGGCAAAAAGGTAAATATCAAAAATTCTGCAGATGTGGCAGTCGATTTAAAGACATCAGACTCACGATATTAAAATTCAATATGATATCAAGTTCTATGCTGCATCTTAAACTTAAGGGGAAATGTTCTTTCCACACAGATTCTCATTATTATCATCTCGATTCCCTTCTTTCCTTTTCATTATTTTGTAATTCTCAAGTTACGTCACTCAAAACGCAAACTCAACATCAAATTCTTCACTTCACTGACATTCCATCCAAAGATTCATCCCCAAACAAAAGCAACCTGAATTAATGTTTCAAAATATCAACATCAACAACCCTCCTGTATCCTCGTTCATTGCTCCCCGCATTATTACAACAATCTCCTATGTTGTATCTATGTGTTATGTCCCTTTCCCCTTCTTATTCAGTTCCCATTTCTATTTTCATTCATTCATAAAATATGTGTACAGGAATTCTTCCTTGTTTTGCTTTAAAAATCTATTTTTTAAATATGCGGAACCGAAAGAATCGGAGAAACATTCGTGAAAATAAAAAGAAGTCATGAATTGTTGATGTAAATCCTCTCCATCGTTATGCATCATCTAACATGATCCTGTTAATGTCCTGAAATTAAATAATTGTCATTTTGTTTGCTGTCGTTCTGACTGCTTTGTTTTGCTGCTTTTTCTCCCCATAACGTGACAATTACAATATTTTTTTATTTTGCTGCATGTGTGTACAAGCGTACATCCAGTCGATTTCCCTTCGACGAATTTTTTAAAGCTCCCAAATCATTTCCATATTTTAATTAAATTTTTCTCAGCTGGATGGGCAAATTCTTTCCATGAAAATGCAGAATGTAGGCAAGGATGGTCCAATAATTTTACTTACCATATCGATTGTGTTGCTTTTATGTGGAATCAATATCATTTACGCATTTTCAGCTTTAATTCTCACATGCATGATATGGAAGTGATGTCATTGAGAAGGTTTAAGGAACTTTATGTTCCTAAAATCAGCATAACTTAAATAAAATCCATAAAACCTAATAAAATCCTTATCAATGACTTTCAGCATGATAACAAATCTACAAAATTGAGATTGGAAACGAGGTAAAAATGGAAATATGAAGCCATAACGCCATTAGACAAATTGAAGATTCGAAAAAAGAATAGAATCCAATTGTTTCCCTAAGGAATCTCATTCAGCATCCATTTCACAATTTCCTTTTATCTTTTTTATTCGCACTGAATATTTATACAAATTTCAAGCACATAACAATGTTCTTAGATCTCTCGATGCTGTTTGAATATCTCATTATCATCAATTCCTTATCGATGTTCCATTTCTTTTTGAAGCACTTCCGCATTTTATTCTCGAATATGCATTATAATGCACAAGTATCTATCACATTAGATTAGCTATGAATGGCAACAATGAAAAATACTTTTTATGCTGCATCAATCAGCACTTCCTTTATTCTGTAAATCAAAAAGTTTCCTTTTTTGATATTTTTCATTTAAATAAGGAACGGATTGTGGCAGGAGTCGGATGAATATGAAAAGAAATCGGAATTAAAAATTTATATACGAACATGCGTTTTTGTGTTTTGTGTTCTACTTCCTCAAGCAATATTTATTATTAAAAGCAACAACAAGAACGACAATAGAAATATTCAGCATCGTATCTCCATCCACAAGTCAGTCATTCAGTCAGTAAATAAGCAGCAACGAAAAATAATAAAGATAGAATATTTTTGTGTCTGTATTTTTCTTTCTATGCTGTTTGCTATGCTGCGTTAAATCTTTCTGGCTGAAAAAAGAAGAAAACAACAAGATTCAGGAATCACTTGTTTTTTTTTTTTGTGCTCATATAAATACAGGAAGCAGTAAAAAAAGGATAAATGGAAGAAGTTGAACATGTTGGATGAAAATAAAAACTGCTTAAAATGAGACATCGAAGAATGAAAGGAAACCGTAAATTTAACTGAAAGGAAAATCGGCAGACGAACTATGCCAAAATTATAGTTTTTGTCTCGTTGCCACTGCCTGCCTTGTATTTTGTATTGTTGACTGGAAAATTGAATAACACAAAAATGAAATTACTTAAGAATCAAGGAATCAGCTTAAAATTACTGCCAAATCTTATTGTTTCATGTTCACAGAATTTTGAGGAACCTGACATAAATGCCAAGTCAGCGACTGACTTCATATATTTGTTTTTAATTATTGAGGCTTCACAGAAATAAGAAGAAGCATGAAGATGTAAATAAATTACGTGAATGGAAAATGTGTGAACAAGAAAATTGTCGTGTGACACGATCTTCTATAAATAAACAGCAACAAATCAGCTTCTATGGCAGCAGAAATGCCGCCGAAAGAAATTTATTCTTAATTGTTTTCAAACATGTCTTCGAAACTATTTTCCGACTGCTTAAAATTGATGATGGAAGTGATTATTAAAGCATTTGTGAAAATTCATTGTCATATGATGAAGATAAATTTCGAGCAGAACCAGATGGAATTAGATGTCTTCAAACTTTTATGCTTATTTGATTTTTCAAAATTTTCATCATTTTTTTCGTGTTCACAAGAAAATGCTGAACGAAGCATAAAAGTGGACAAATCTTTGCTTTTTCATTCCTTCCGCTAGCTTCCATTCTTATCCTTTGTCATCGTCCAAAATAAAAGCAGAAGCACTTAACGGCACAAAAGTACAAAATTTTTTGGGTCAAAATTCGATGAATGAAAATGGAAAGAGATTCTCTATTAACAATAATAACAATAGAGTTACTGCTCATGTTGCTCCTCATCCCCATTATTATTATTATTTTGCCATTATTTGCGTGTGTTTGTGTGTTTTTAAAAGGAAAATGAAGAAATGATAAATGATTTTCATCACTTACTGTAACAATAAAAATTCACGCAATATCATCGGCACCAAGACACACACACACAAATCTATGCCTTATTATTATTCTTATTGGAATCAAATTATGAAGATATTCTAAATCAATTGCGTGTAGAACGATATTTGTGGATAAATGTTGTGTCTAAAAACAAAGGAAATTGGAACAGAACTAAATGTTGCAGTTCCTTAATAGAGAAACTTTTAAAATTTACCTTAAAGCATTGCATAAATTTTATGAACATTCCAAATAATTTAATAAATTTTGAGACAACCCCAAAAGAAGTTCCATTTACAAAGAAATAATATTTTTATAGTAACTTCCCTTTTATTATTTTCCTTCTAAGAAAGCTTGCATTGGAGTTAGGAAGGAACAAAATTGTGCCAGAAGGAGAAGAATTTTTCTTTATTTTTTGATTTATCGAATAAGCAAAACTTCGATGTTCCTTCACTTCCGCTAATTTTCTTCATCTTCCATTCCTCATTTCTTATCCTCGTAAGGATAAACTTCAAGTTTTCATAAAAGTGCTTATGTGCTTATAGTTCTTCTAGCATTTTAGACATGCAACGTACTCATATGTAGAGGAAGAGTTGAAAGATGAAAGAAATAAAAAGTTATACGATCGTTGAACTCAAAAAAAATTGCTCTTTTTCCCGCTGCTGCATCTAAAAATTTAATTCCTGGAAAACCATCAAACATTGCGCAAAAGAATGCTGTAGATTGGGAAATAGTCAAATAAATGACTAAGGAAGTATTTGGATATAAGGTTCAACAAAATATCAATCCCTTTTTAGAACTGTCAGTCACACTAAGGTAGCTAAGAGATCAGATGTTGGTTTAGAGCAGTGCTTTTCAAACTGTGTGCCGCGGCACCCTAGAATTTTTTGAAAATGACATGCGGCTCACATGCTTAGGTCTTGGTTTACCCCTATGATGTGCCGTGGCTCAAAAGTTTGGCAGCACTGGTTTAAAGGCTTATACTCAGCATCCAAACCTAGATAGAGTCACAAATTTATTCATACGCCAGATTTTAGCTAATTGACTCGTGGTTCTAGAGGACATAACATGAGTGCATCCAAAACAAACGATTTGTAACCAAATTCAAGCAAAGATGATGTCCTTTTTCGTAATAACCAAGGCGTGGTCATAATCCCTGAGCTTGTATGCATTAGAATTGATATATCCCATCATATCCTGAAACTACACGCCCAATACACTAAGGATACGTTAAGATATCTTTATTATCGTGCATACATGCTCAGGAATTTTTTGAATATTTTTATGATATGTGGGATAAGTATGATATTTGGGATAGTTTTCACGCCTTGCTAATAACTATCCCTCCATAGCATTACATTATTTTCACATAATCCCCAAAAAATGATTTGAAGGGAGAAAAGTCTTTAAATATTTATGACATTCATAAAAGGATGGCTGCTTGTGTTAATGCTCTATGTATCGTTATTAGTCCAACCTCGCTTATCAACAACGGAAGCATAAAAATTTTTTGACATAAAAAGTTATGCATAAAGCACATGTGAGATGACGATAAGTCGACATGGAATATGAAAATCAATAATTACCCTTGAGTCACAAAAGTTGTTCATGAACGAGTCTACGAGACGATGACTTCTTCTTTTATTTAATCGACATTTATACCATCGAAAAAGGACTCTCGAAATGTCTTCAGTTTCCTGCTGCTTTAACACATTAAATGCTATACGTTGTGTGCATTTTCTATTCTTCTTTGCCTTTATATCTCATGTGTGTACACACGCTCAAGAGACTTTATATGTTTGTATAAGATTGTGCAATATTTGCTTGTTAGAAAAAAGAAGAAGAAAGAAATACCAGACTTGAATATTAAATCACTTCCTGAGATGCAGTCGAGAAGCGATGATGAATAATAATGACTGAAATCACTTTGACTCGTATCAAAAAAAAATTCTTTTTTTATGTCAAATTTTTCATCTTGTCAGGGCGAAAATTGAAGGCAACAAATATTTTTGGCAGATAGAAAATTTTGACATGATTGACTTCATTCCAGTGCTGATAACATTTTTCACGTTTTTTTCCGCTAGAAGTGGAGAAGGGAAGCAGATGCCTTGTTCCTCCAAA